AAAAAAAAAAAAAAAAAAAAAAAAAAAAAAAAAAAAAAGAAAGAAAAGAAAGGAATTATTTACAGCTTCTTTCTCAGTGATAGGAAATCGATCAGCACGCAGATCATGCAGCACTTGATGATACAGTAGCTCTTTCTCCACGGGGTCGTCGAGATTCATGTACTGGTCAAGGAACAAGTGTTTCTTAAATAAGAAGAAGTGATGCGCGTGCTTCCTCTGTGATTGATTCTGCTGCGCGTTCGCCGTCCTGTAACGCTCCCATTTCGACATTACATCGGCGATCTTCTCCTCTGGTATCAGCGCCCTTTCGGTTGGCCCTAGGACCTCGTAAATCGCATAACCTGCACCAATACCAGAATTGAATTATAAATATTATATTCATCGAGTGTCAGCGAAGATAAATAAATAAACTCTGGTCACCCATGGCAGTTTCCTCCAGGCCAATTTTAGTCTTGATGATCTCCATAACGTCCCTGGCTGTTGCCGAAGGATGGAACTCGACGGCGTGATACTGCCCGTCCATGAAGTGGAATCTCGCGTAAATTGGCCTACGGTTGATCGTGCACATTATCTCCTCCCTGCTTGGCGGCCATTGCCTCCTCCTTGTGCCCTGGGTCTTGTAAAGGCACTTTTCAGCAAACCGGGCGTATTTCCCCTCCTCGGTGACGTAATCGCTGGCGCATCGTTTCAAATGCGCGATCAGATACTTTCGTATCACCTTCTGCGGAGGTAGGATAACTGAACAGGCCAAAGAGAGTAACGCCCAGTGCCTGAGATTCACCCGACTGTTGGGATCAGGATGATCCGTCGTTTGCTTGATCAACTGTAGATACAGTTCACCTAGTAGATTCTCTTTCCTTATGCAACGTTCCATCACCGTCTGTATCAGGTTCACGTGTTCGTCCTCCACTCTACGAACCGTGTCTCCGTTCTGCCCTAGACCAGCGTAGGTTAAAATTAACTGAAACACGCTGAGCGATATTTGCTCGTCTGGATCAGGCAGCTTCGAGAGACTCTGAGGTATGGCTTGCCTGCTGAACGCCCAATATGCGTAGGGGAATCCTTTGTAGGTTTCACCGTGATCAGTCGCGCTACCGTGTTCCTGCCTGAGCTTCTCTATTCTGTGCTTGGACAACCTCCGCAACGTGTTTCTCAGGAAACCGCCACCGGAATCCTGTGGTTTTCTCAATATCTCCGCGTCGACCAGTGTCCGCCGGCAATTGACCAAGTTGTGATAGAGTCTAATACGATCCTCGTTGGTGATGCATTTGAGTTTCTTGGTAGGAACCTCGTTCTCCGTGATCCAGCCTGCCAGTGCCGGGCAGTAACTGACGATCAGGCTGCCTATCTCGTTCTTTTGCGGCGTTTCGAAAACGAAACACTTGTGCGAACTGTCGGGGTTGTGACGGAGAAGAGACAGCGTTATGAAAGAGTCGCTCGGGTCTAGCATGATACTCTCCACATCCTGATAACGATACTCCGACAAGACGAACTTATCGTCCGGTTTGATCAACATCAGTCCATCGCAGTTGATGCCCAAGATAAGCTGGTTGCCGTACGACCAATAGCCCCGATAAGTCACGTTGAACATGGTCGTGCCGTAGAGGGGATATTGCATCACACAGGACAGATAGAGCACCTTGGCTGCCAATTCCTTGCGACCAGCGCCGTACTGTCTGTGTGCCTGCGCTATTATTGGCACCCAAACGTCATCGCCTCGGGCTCGGCTGATCCGATAAGGCAAGAAACTATCCACCTCGCTGTAGTAATCCAGCCGGTCGTTGTCCTTCGGATCGCCGAGGGCGACTTGCGCCTGCAAGCCTGCCAACTGGAGCGCGACCTTCTCCGACACTGGGAAATCGTCGCACTTCACAACGTTGTACACAGCTTGAGCGTACAGCATGTTCACCTCGACGGGATCTTGCGATATCTCACGAGTATTCCGGAAGAGTCTCCGCTTGAAAACGAACCGATTGTCGCCGCTTCCTAACGTAGCGTTGTTCCCACGACGAAGGGTCGAGAAGGTCGACTGAGCTGTGTTCAACTTGCACTGTTTCATCTCCCAAGCGGCTATAACGTCGTAGAGGTAATCGTGCGCTCGTACGTGCTCCTCGCCGTCCGGCCTGCTTTGGTAAATTGCCCAACCTTCCAGAGACCTGAGACCCAATTTTTCACCTAATTTAGCAACAGCGTCGGAAGCGGTGTCAGTCGGGTGTACGTCGATCGCTTTCGTTCTGCCGTCCAGAAAGAAGAATCGGCAAACTATCGTGCCCAATCGCCTCATTGCTGCGATCTCCACCGTCGACGGTGGATGCTGCCTGCAGGAAACTTTCATGTTCTTGCAATTGTCCACGCACCATTGAACATACTGCCGCAGCTTGCCCTCCAGGGCCAAATTCTTTCGCAAGAAGGACACGAAATACTTGTACAGCAGCTTGCTAGGTTGGAAAGCGACGATAGCCAGACAGAGCAGTAACCACACTCTCTCAGACCATTCTGGATTGGGATTGTTGGTTGCCTGTCTCATACACTGAACGAAAATCTCGTCTCGCAGTTCTTCACGCTCGATGCCGTAGCCTATTATACTTTGGATAGTTGCAATTTCCTGGTCCAGTTTCATCTCTCCTCTTATGTACTTGCATAGATCCTAGATTCGAAAAAGGGAAAAGTATTAGTCGGAGATTAATCAGGAGATGAGATATTCTGTATGAACAATTTACTCACCCTGAAAACCGAACAAGCCACATTAACGTTATCCGGGTCGTACATGTGAATGTGAGAATTCGGTATGGTAGAACCTTTGTAGTAAGTGACCATCTCGTACTTTGGGATATACTCTACGCTCTTGCCGCGTGATTTTCTAGTAAGCGTTGCCATGATCGTACCCTCTGGGGATCTTTCGTGGCTGTTGAAATAATTCTGCGCGAATTCCACGATGTCGTGATAAGTAACCTCGTTATCCGGCTCCTTCTTGTCCTCCAGTTCTTGAAGTTTACGCTCCACTCTGCACTTGCGTCTCTGTTCTCTCTCGACAGGTGGCTGTTGAAGTTGCTGCGACTGCTGTTGCTGCTGATCGTGACCGTTCTGTTGCTGCGGTGGCACAGGTTGATGGTGATTATGGTGCAGCAAATGATGACTGTTTGAGTTTCTAGATTCCGGCCTGGATGGAGGACTACCGGCGACCGGTTCTTTGATGACCTTGTTGTTTGGCACTGGCGGAGGCGAGCCACAGGATTCGCCATTAACTAACGACCCAGAATTTCCATTAACCAAAATTGGACTGCTGGGACTGTTCTCCTCACGTGGTAAGACGGACTCGTAGATTGGCTCTCCATTGTCAGTAGAGGAGTCTCCGTTCATTGTTAAAGCGGCGGCAGGAGGTGGTGGAGGTGGAGGAGGTTCAGTAGGCTCCGGAAGACTCGGCTGGCCAAGTTTACCGGTATTTGGACACGGTATCCGTTGTTGCTGTTGCGCTGACTGTTGCAACGGTGATGGAGCCTCCTGACCGTTTGGAGTATTTGCTTTAGATTCCATCTTTGAATTTAACTCCATTTCCTGTTGGATTACAGTCTCCAACTCCACGTCGAGGTCCTCTACCAATGCATCCATTTGCTCGCCGATTTCTTCGATTATCTGATTGCCTTTCGTTGATTGTACGTCGGACAAGAATGAGAATAGATTGTCCAAGTCTACAGACTGCAGATCTGAGGCGGCCATCTTAGAATTCATTTGCTCGGCCATTTGCGACAACGCAGCGATTTCTTCTTGCGCTTTTCTGTAAAATACATACAAGTACATGAAATATATTATTTTCATCTAGTAGAAGTATTTCAGCCTTTCTTAAGCGCACAAATTAGCCAGGTATGTGTATGTGTGTGTGTGTGTTTGATAGTACTAAACGCTTCATCTATGTTAAAAGCAATTATTCTTAAAAAAAAAAAAAAATCATGCTACAGAGCTTCTTCTTTAATTCGCCAATGAACTACCGACACATCGTACGAACTTACCCGGGTTCCATCCCGACAATACCATTGTACTGTGCGCTACAAAGGACACAAATAGACATACTATTAGCACAGAGACGAACGATCCTCAACGATCATCACGGCAATTTCATATACTGGAATAGATCTGTCGTATCGTATCGCATACAATTCCAGGACAATTATTTTGCTATACCTTTGACTTTCTTCCAGAGCCTTCTTATCCTCCATCAATCTTCTCTCCTCTTCCAGTCTCTCCCTCTTCCTCATCTCCTCGTCTACTCGTCTCATTTCTCTCAAGGCAGCAGCGACCTCCCTTGCGAACACGCCACGCAAATGACTCTGTATCACGATAGCTGCTCTTCGTTTCCTGATGAACATTATTCTCAGCTTCCAGCCCCGGTAGGCATGCTGCACTTTCAATGCAGCGTCTCTCACGCGTTTGTATTCTGCAAGCAAGAGGCTCCAATTCATCTCGACTCGAGAATAAAATAAAATCAAGCGACAATAAAATTGAAAGCAACTCACCTCGTCGAACCACGTATCCCCTCCATATTTTCTGTATCGTTATGGCGTTACTGGTAACCATTTGATTTCTACAATCCTCCAACGGTTCGTGCACGTAGCTTCTTAGAAACACTTTGGTCTTGCCAATTTGCCACTCAGTCTCGGGTATACCCTGACTGCTGATCAAGCATCTAACAGCCTCTTTTTCGTTATACGAACGGGACAAACGTCCTTTATCCAGGCAACGATATCTCGCTATAAAGTCGAGGAAGGGCATGTGTATAGGAAAACCCTCCTTTCGGATTCTAATAATATCTAACATGCCTAAATACTTCAGCTGGTCTAGAACCAGCTTCTCGTCATAGTTATTCGCCGCTTTTTGCATATTCGGCTTGATGCATCTAGCGTACCAGGGTGTCGTAGCTTGAAGAACGTCAACTAGAGCTTGCAACTGATGCCTGAAGGAGTCGCAGAGCGTCGGCTTGCCCTTCGAGGTACCGCGTGACATGGTGGTCGCGTTCCCGCTCGCACGAGCCACCGTGCACCCCAAAAGATCTTGATAGACTGTAATCTCTTGGACAAATTCGTTCGTGCTCCTGGACATGAAGTCGAAGAACACGTCTTGTTGTACGTCGCGGTTCTTGTCGACGAACCCTTCGACCGCGTAGGTAACGCAGCCCGCGTAGTGCTTCACGCCGAACTCTTTCTCCCATTTTCGTCGATCGTCACCTTTCACGTAGCAGGGATGATTCTCGAATTCTGCGTGCAAGTTGGTCAGGTAGGCTAGGTCCGAGCCTTTCGGCATATGGCACTGCTCGGTCAGTAATTTAAGAACACATCGTGGAGGTTTCTCGATTAATTCCAGGCACATGGTGTTGTCCGTGAAGGTGATATGCGAGTATTGGATCTCTTCCTGTCGATACTGAAATTCGAAACGTTCCACCGTGTTACGATAGCCGACGTGGAAGGACAAGTGTCACCTAATCAACTTTGCGACCAGTTTTTATTTTTATCATTAACCCTTGACCCTATCACATAGCTCACTTGGGACTAGGTGTAATGTATCTTGCGGTTTCATTATAAAAATTACACAAGAATTCAATTGAATTACCTCTCTTTATATATATATACATACATGCCATCGATATCGAGGTCAATTCAATTTCACCCCTATCGGTTACGTAACAAGCCGGTTATCTCAACCCATCATCGTGTCGTTAATCGTGTCGCACAGCCGACCAAGTACACAGGACAAAACAAGAACGCTTAGAAACGTGACTTACTAGTTCCTGTTCTAACGCGAACACGTAGTGATTGAAAAACTTGTGCAGCTTCTCGTTCGTGTAGTTGATACACAGTTGCTCGAAACTGTTGACGGCGAAGTTCTCGAAGCCGAATATATCCAAAACGCCGAGGAACCTCGAGCTGTCCTGGCCGGGGTTCGTGCAGTTGTTTATGTGATTGATCAGCCAGACGAACGTCCTCGAGTACAATGCCTTGGCCATCGCGTGCCTGTTTTCACGGGCTTCTTGAACCTTCAACGGTATCTCGGTGATGTTGCCGCGTACGTTGATCTGCCGTATAAGCACCACTTTCGTGAGATCCTCGACCTGCAGCCCGAGCAAAGGAGCGACCGTGCCGACGATGTCAAGGTCCTCTTTAGTTAGCTCGCATCTTTCACCGTCCACGTCCTCGAAGCTCAGATTCCCAAGCCAGAGTATGGCAGACAGGACTCTGAAAATACCCTCGCACATTTCCGGTGCGACCTACAAAAACGAAAGTGTCAGTCAGTGAGGCTGGGCGAAGGGTAAAATAAGTCCTCACCAAGAAGCTTGTTAGAAGAATGCTCTTCAATGATTTAAACATTTAAATTACAAGAAGA